TTTGACTTGACATTTGAAATCATCATTGCCTTCATCTTTTATTTTTTCATATGTCACAAAAGCATCTTGGTAGTCTGGAGAAAAAGCAACAGTTTGGAATAACTTCAATAACACAATTTGATATCTGGCTTCTTCTGCTTTAAACTTTTTTTGAGCTGCCAAATATTCACAGTACACTTTAGCTAATTTAGATATCGAAACTTTGCAGTAATATTTAAGATATATAGCATGCTTTTATTTTATATATTTCTTCAAAATGCTCAAATTATTGAAAAGTTCTCAATGCATTATTTTCAAAGCATTGTAATTAAATAAAATGTGAATTGAATTGAAAAATTTAATTAAACTTTGTTTTTTATTATGCCCTAATAATTATTTTATCATATTATGCTATCAATTGTGCAGATTTATCAATCAAATAAAGCCTTTTATAATAATACATCTTTTATATCAACCTGCAATTCTATTTCCTAAAAAATTTCTTTTTTATTGAATCTTATTTATATACTTTCTTTAAAATACTATTATAATAATTTAAAATCTACTTATAATTTATATTTGAACTATTTTCATCCCATATTTGCAATTAAGCAAATTATTACTTTATAAAAATAAAATTTAATGATGAAAAGTATTAAAGAGAAAGATCACAATAACATCTAAGATCTAGACACCTAATGACAACAGTAATAATAATAGCTATTAGATTATAAAACAAAAGCGCTTCTAGTTCTGTAACTTCAGATACATAACGACTAGAAATTAGTAATTTTTCACCTCACTTCATGAAGGTAAATGTCAATTAAATTATTACGTTTTACGATGGATAAAGATTTTTTCTCAAATTTTCAATGGTGAGAAATTTTTCTTTTAAAAAAGCCTGGCTAACTCTATATCGTTACTGTATTTAGCTAATAATATGACTTATTTCAGCATCAAAATACACACATGACATAAATAACTTTATTTTTAATAAGATATTAAGCATTTATAATAATAAGAATGTGATATTAGTTCTCTTAGCAATATTCTAATGCTAGCGGTTGTGTGATAACACTGAATCATTAGTTGAAACACATAATAACTGTCTTCTTAATGGTGAACGTTAGCACAAATTCTAAAATATAATTGTATACTCAGTTTATTCTCCTATGGCATCAAGGTTCCATCAGATAATGAACTGAGTTTCAGTAAATTATGATAAAATTAAACATAATAATCCTTAATTTTGTAAAGATGTGAACTATTATATCTAAATAATAATAAATTTCTATTACTTTCTAGAATAAAAACTTTATATAATAATTATCTCTAAAAACTTATTTGTCAAAATTATAACCATGTTTTGTGATAAAAAGACATAATTTGCAACTCAAATTGCTTGCAACACATTAAAATTAAATCAATTTGTATAATTACTATCATTCATTATATTTTTTAAGAAAAATCTGGAGTTTTATATAAATATTATATTCTTTGTATTTATTTTAATTATTAAACGTTTCATTAGTTTGGGTTAATATAGTTACTTATCGTTATTAAAGATACCATAAAATAGTCAACAATATTGGATCATTACGGCGCATTTGTAATCTACCATGAAATTTAAAAATTTTTGACCCCTGATAGTGACTCAATTGAATTGACATCATATATACATACTGTATAAGTTATAAATTAAATTTATATTAAGTTATAAATCAAATTTAATTAGTTATAAATCAAATTTATATATCCTGATTTGAATTGTATATTTTACGTAAAAAATAAATACATATAAGAATAGTAACAAATAACTTAAAACTATCATTATATAAAATAATAATAATAAAAGAAATTGGTGAAGAAAATTCAAATTATCTAATGGATCGTACTATTAAATAGAAGTCACCATGAAGAAGTTTTCAATACTACATTGTCAAAGAAGGTGTTTATCCACCTAAATCTTATCATGCTTACACCAGAACACCAAATCAATATCTGGTTCCTGATAATTATGTGGTAGAAACAACTTATAGAAAAAAAGAAACGATGATTACTTGTTCTATTAATTATTTTAATGAGAAACCTCAGTATAAAATACAATTTGAGTTAAATGAAAATGAATATGTATATTCAAATCATTCACCAACAGATGCAGTGAATGCATACCTAAAAGCTTATTATGAAAAAATCGCAAGTAAAGAAAGGGACAAAAATCTAAATGTAATATATATAATACTGTTTATATGTATTAAATATATAATTTACTAAAATACATTTTCATTAAAATTAATTTAACTAGTTTCAACAAGCGAAAACTAAAATAAATAGTATTTATTTATTTGGTCTACAGTTAATACAAATCAAATTAGTACGGGAAAATCAAAAAAAACCAAGGGCTATTAGACCGTTTTCTGAAATTACAAATCAGGTGCAATTCAGATGAGGTAGAAACTTTGGTACAAATATTTTAGCAAGCCTCAAAGATCCAATAAAACAATATTTTTCTGCAGAAGATAATGTTATAATCGATGAATTAGTTTTTACAGTAAATACTTCAAAATTCTGGATTATATACCATCCTAAAGCTAATGATGAGGTAAAGTGTCAGCTAGCTATAACACGAGCTTTAGATGATAATAAAATTTCAAGATCCTCATATTAGGCTTTAGAGCAATATGTCATGAATTACCACGTGATAGAGCTATATTTGAAAGACTAAGTCAAATAAACACAATTATGGATAAAAATATTCCAATCTATCCAATTAAGTTACAACAATTTAAAGATAAATTAAATTCTGGTCATAAAATCTATATCACAGATCCCAAAATTATTGATGAAGTTGATGGCTTATTAGAAAATAGTACAAGATGTTCAATTAAGGATATTTTAAGGTTTCTTATACCATCTATGATTAGCAAAAGAATACTTAATTATTCTGAACCAACATTACATATTCGTATTTCTGGTGACGGAAGGAATGTTGGTCACAAAATCAAACATATAATAGTGACATTTACAATCCTAAATAGAATGAATATTTTTAAATCTGATTCACATTTTGCGCTACTTATTTATCTAGGTATAGAGAGTTATGATATATTATGTATTACATTAGCACTATTAATAGAAGAATTACATGATATTAAGACTAGATTTATAGATAATAATGGATATAAGTGGAATATTGAATTATATATTTCTGCTGATTGGAAATTTCCCAGTATTTGTCTAGGACATAAATTAGCCAATAGTACAAACTTCTGTCTTTGGTATTCAATAAATAAGTCTCAAAATAGAATTTTAGAATTGAACAATGAACGACAAGACAATTGGACTATCGACAAAAATATCGATAATATTAATCAAAATTAACAAAATATCTCCGGGCATAAGAATCCTCCATTATTTTCAATGATTCCAGTTTGCAACTGGGTTGTGATGAATTACACTTGTTGTTATACATATTTGATCGACTATAGGCACTTGTTTTAAGTAAACTTCGTAGTATATATCGTTTTACTGATCATATATGTTAATCAATTGTTATTGAAATGGATCGTATTCAAGTTCATTTCCAGTTTTGGGAAGATCAAAATACTAAAATATGGTTATTTACAACTTTAAATAGAAATGATAAACTTAAGGTCTTAAAAAACTTTAATTTGAATATTATATTCACATTTCAAAAAGCCACTATTATTAGAAAACTATAGGATGGTTTTATCGACCTATATAATAATATGCATGCTTCAGATATTTCTGGTAGCCAATTCTATCAAAAAGCCTGTCAATGGTTAAAACTCTTTTTAACAAAGTCTCAAGGTGATGTAAATTTACCAGTATTTATTTATGGACTTTATCAACCAACAAATATAACACCATATATTCACATTCTTGTATATCATGTACCTGAATTTATGGATATATACCGAAGCATTAAATTTTCTTCATTTTCTTGCTGTGAAGTAGAAAAAAAAAATTATGATTATGTTTTATTTTTTTTTAAAAAGTCTATGAAAGATGGTGGAATAGATGACAATCGAAAATCTGCAATATTTAAAATTATGGAATATGAAAACTGGTCTAATTTTTTTTATGTTCATAATGTACCAACTTATTTTAAAAAAGATCATATAATTCGTGAATATTCGAATACTGATGTTGAATAGAATATTACATACAATTTTATTACAATACTATATATTTACATATAATATTTATATATGTAATGTAATTAAAGCTATATAATATATGCACATTCACTATACATGCATTATCTTAATCAATTTCTCTATATATAATTTATATTATTAGTATATAATACTAATAAAACTGTCCTACAAGAAATTTCAAAGTAACCCAACCCGTCTCAGTTCTATTTCCATCTTCATCATTAATTACACACTTTTTCCAGATTATAATTATTTCAGATTGTTCTAAATTCAATTGTGAATCATTTGATGTTTCAGATACTAGTATAACTTCAGATCTTTGTCCATGTTCATAAATTCTACGTCCCCAATTTTCTCAGTTAAAAATATTTGTGAGAGTATTATATGCATTATAACTGCTGAATCTACAAGTATATTTTTGATGACACATTGAATATCACTTGATATAATTTTGAAAGATTGAAACAAACTCTGGTTCACTAAATGGTGCCGAAACTGTTTGTAATCCAGTATGTTTTATATGAAGTTTAAGACATGATTGTATAAGATAAACTAATACATTCTTGGCTTCAGCAATATAAACACTGGAAGGAATAGGAAGATTTTTAGGAGGTATATTATAATTAGAGTGTTTAAAAGTTTCATGATGGCTCAATCCACTTTGTTTTTTGAATATTGTATTTGGACAAAGTGGGCATGAAAAAGATTTGTCTGAAGAGACACTT